ATCCCGCGGCACCGTGCCGTCACCTCATCGCGAGTATCGGCGAAGTAGCAGCGACGACGGCGACGACGGTCGACGACGATAACAGCGAGAACGATGGTGGCGGTAGCGGCAACTGCGGCGCCCATACGAACCAGTACGAACTGACGCGAACACGCACGAACTGAGGGCGATTAATGTCGCGAAACGTCGACGAATGCCGGGCGCGGCCGAATGGCACCGAGTGCCGATATCTCTGCTCGGATAAAAATCACGTGATCTTGCCTAATTGAGACTCGAATAAGCGGTAGATTTGAATTCGATGCTTGATGCCAAAGGCGATCTTATGAAAGTTTGTGTTGTTATTAAAATTTAAATGATTAGCTCATAGAATTTTATGATTTATTAATATCTTATTTTTTAAACACATATATTTACAACTCTTGGTAATATTTAATTTAATTTAAAACTGCATTTTTATTTATATCATCTTCGAAATTAATTCCATGTAAAATAATAATTATAAGTGACTAAAAATTTATATTATTAAATAATATTAATATTTTCTAACTATCGAATTTCTTCGACTTGAAATTTGATAATTATAAAAATTTCCCATATTTCTTGGTTTTTAAATATTAAGCTATACAATAAAAATTAATTCTGACATGTAATAAGTATAACCAAGAGAAGTAAATGGTTAAAAAAATTTCAACTATTGAAAACTAACAATTTACTACGTAATAGATAATATTAGAAAACATATCCAAATAATCATATACAAAAAGAAACAGAATTAATTTAATTAATAATTAAAAATAATTAAAAAATAAAAGTAAAATTAAATTAAATTTGCAATTTTAAGTATAAAAAAAACAAAAAGACAAAAGTAACTCTTAATATTTTATATTTTAAGAAAAAAGATATGCATGTTTCAAATGTAGGCGAAAGAAAAAAGAAAAAAGAGGGATAAAGGGGCGGAAAGTGCAGAAAGCACAGAACTGAAACGAACAAACTTGTCACGGGAGCCGTCTGGCTCCCTCCAGATTATTCACGTTTACGTCAATTTACGTCCGATCCGATAGACTGTTCGATAGCGACGGTCGTATTTGGTTGGCTCTGAAAACGTCCTGTTAAATAGGTAAGTCTTGTATGTACATCGTCAGGACAACGCATATTCATATCGAGTGATCTGTGAGACGGTTCATCGTACATCTGAAAACACACTCGATAATCATGCAAAACAAAAGCATCTTCCGCTCGGGATTGAAGAAACTTGTCAAACGGTAGAGTCGCCTTTTGTTTCGTCCCGATAACGACGATACAGTTTTTCTTCCCGGAATTCGATGGTTCACGGCCATGATTGGAAATCACCGGCGACGACTCGTTCTCTTCGATTTTTCCCAACGCGGAAAATAACTGTCACGATTTCCTTCTGAAATCTCGTCATCGATATATTTACATTTTCGTTACATCGCACAAATTCGCGACGTAAATTGAGTGACGACAACAAGACTTCCCTTTGTCACGCGACTTCATTCCAAAAGTTCAATATTAAACAAATAATGGAACAATTGTCATTGGCAGAATAATTAAAGACTCGCCCTCGCGACTTCATTCCAAAAGTTCAAAAATAGATGAGTCAAAACGTTTTCTATGTTTCGCATCGCAGGTATGAAATTTTATATGTCAATGCCAGTTTCTGTCGCACATAAGGACTTCTTGGCCGTAAGATTTATATGATACAAATAGTTTTTATATTTAAACTTAAGTATATACAAAATAATATTGCGGAAATTAACCATTTTTTATAGATATAAATTTATTTCCTGTGATCATGTGATTTCTTCTTCCAGTCCCAAGATGAGTTTGCCAATGGCCAAAAAAAATAAAGAAGACGCGAACAAAGAAGCCTATAGTATAGATGCCACAAACGAAGCCAAATCTTTCATAGAGAAAATCTTGGGCGATGTCAGCAAATCCTCAGCAACAAAACAGATCATTATTGGTAGCACATCAGGATGGTATTAAATACTTCTTATCACAATTGAAATGATCTTGATTGTTTATTCTTGAATGTTCAACACTCATAAGGTCTACCTTCTATATTAAATATAGATGATTTGTAAATTAGGGTAACTGGATTTATCACTATGAAGATTGGAAAAGTAGCAGCTTGCGCAGTTGGTGGTGGAATTATCATGTTGCAAATTGCTGCACATCAGGGTTACATAAACATTAATTGGGACAAAGTTATGACAAAGGCCGAAAAAATATCAGATAAGGTGGAGGAAAAGATTACCGGCGAAGGGCCACATTTAATGGACAAGGTAAGTAAATTTAGATTACTGTGGAAGATTTTGCAGCTTTTTTATCAGATATTTGGATTTTGAAGAATCAAGTGAAAATTTTCTTTTTTTGTTAAAAGTATACGTAGTGAAGGTAATTATTTTTGATAGAAATTATTTTATTTAGAAACATACTAAAAACTAGGGAAATATATATTAAAAATTTCTTATATTAACCTAACTTATAATTTATAGAAAATATTTTGCATATATTTACTTACCTTTTTCACAAATATGTTTTTGCTATTTGCAGGTAGGAAAATTATGGAGGAAGAATTCGTTCATCGCCACGAGTTTTCTTGGCGGTTTCATTATCGGTCTATCTTGGTGAAGTAAAGTACAATAACTTTTAAGTTTTGCGCGAAAATCGGAACAAATACATTTAGTATATTGTCGCCATCTGCATTATGCATTTTGTATTCTTGAATACAACGATACATATATATCAATATTATTAAAATTTCAATATCAATATTAATGGCAATAAAAATCCACATTGATTTCAATGTCAATAAAACTCACAATAACAATAACATTATAATTTTTGTATATAGATCCTTCAATAAAAAGCTGTATAATAAAATTAATTGTGTGTGATGTGCAAGGCTTTTTCCAAATCCGCTCCGACGTAGAATTTAGACATTGATGGATATTGTCGCGTTCCAGGTTGAACGATTCGTCGACAAAAAGATGGACAAAGCCGGGCGATTGATGAAACAAGGGCAGATTCGTACTCGGCGTTGGTATCATGCATTGATTGGCAGTGACGACAGTTTCCAACCAACGGAGTTCCATTTCTTTCTAGTCTCATATGTCGCGGGAGTCGCACTCGGTATTGCAACCGCCAAATAGGTAATAAATTGCTGCACTCTGAATGCAACCAAGAAAAAGATATACATCGCACCAAAGGATAGCTCCACTATTATCGACGCGCATGACAATGTCGTCGATGAATACAATAATACAATCATGGATGAGGTAAGGAACAAACTTAATGAGTTAAAGAAATGGGTGGCGCGAACTACGCTTAATAATCCTAGATAAATAGCTTTATTTTTAATCTCTCATTGATGTTAACGATGAATAGAATTTATTCGTATCATCCAGAATTACTTCTTTTGCCTTCTTTTAAATCCCCAAATCCGAATAAATTAATGAAACAATTCGTAGATCTTTGTTAAATTTTTCAATATTAATAGAGTAAATTTTATTCGTCGCTATCATCTCTTTAAAGTTAATACATCAAACAAATGAAAGTCCCTAACTTGTTTTGAGATTACAAAATAATTTATTTATTACTAATGTGATTTATTGAATAAATATCGCATCGATGTATTATTTATTTCACATTTTACTTTGTGAAAGGATAAAATTTTGTTTGAATCTTGATAATTTTATTATTGTCATTTAAACAAACTATATAACGTGCTTGTAAAATGGTATAGAGATTTCTTACTCATTCAGAATGCAGCAAGAAATTAGTCATTCTAGGACGTAAATGTTAGAATAATATTGTATACTTATATTATTAAAAAGTTGCGATTCAATTTTTGTGATTTATATTTATATACTTAATTCGGCTAATCGCCGTGTTTCTATTGTATTATTTATACTTATATAGATCTTAATATGTATTGTCTAAAGATAATAAAGATTATTTAACGAATAATTTTCAATATCTTATTAGTGTTAATTTTAGAAATGTTGAAAAACTTCATATTAAATTAATGTTTTATATATATTTATGTATAGGAACATTGTTAAATTATTTCTAAATATATGTAAGTAGGAAAAGAATCAAAGATTTGTCAATTGTATTTTAATTTAAAAATATTACCTTTTATTTAGATAAATTATATAATAAAAGAAATTTTTCAATTATAATCAATTTATTGTCGAATTAAATAAAAGAAATAGAAATAAGGGAAAATAAAGGGATAAATAAATCTACACATTTTAAAATAAATTATGTTATTATATATGATGTAGCAGTATAAAAACATTGTCTTACATAAAGTCAAAATACTCTAAATGTATGTACTTCAAAATCTTTTCAAACATTGCATTATTATATTTCTGAGGCGTTTACGGATTTTTTGATCACCATTGCAGAAAATGTGCGTAGAATTATCTCCAATTTGAATCAAGGTATCCTCTTCTTGCTACAAGTAAACATGTAAATGTATAACTTTCAACAGAAAATTTTTATAATTATATTTTTTGTGTATTTATAAATTATGAATAAGATTATCTTTATATTTATCAAAAGAACCATCGAAGAAATGTCCAAGCATACCAAGTGAATACTCGTAGAGGTAGGGGTGTGCTGTAATTTAGCTCCATGGATGCCTTCCTGATTGAGTTTCTGCAGCAATTCTTGTGGATCCAAATTCCCATATTCATGTTTTCGTTCTTTCAATACTTCTTCTTTCACAGGCGCAGGTGAACTTGATGATAATTTCCTTTTTCCACTCGGTCTCTCTTCTATATTCTGCAAATTTTCCATATTTAAAGATCAAATTAAATATAAACAGATTATATATATATTCTTTTTTGCAATAAGTCTCTATCCAAGAAGATATCTTTATAAAAGAGCGTGTTATAATATTTATCTTGACCGTGACACTCATATTCACCTTTACACATAATTAGTAACTACCTTTATGGTGTATACGTTGTCCTTGACTTCAAGCTCTCCAGTAACAGATGCGAGACTCAAGCCAGGTCGCACTTCACTTGGTATAATGCTACTAGCAAGTTCCGGTTCGATAAACACGCGGCTCTTCTTTCGCTTCAATGGCAACTTTATCACTTCTCCCCGTTTGAACGTAATCAAGGGTTTTTCCTTGAATAAAATGATTATGCAGTTATTTTATAGGAGATAGAAGTTATTTTATAGGATATTTTTTTACATTTATATATTTTATAAATAATAGAGAATATAAAATAAAAATTGAAAATATTAATTGTTGAAAAGTGAGATACTTGGATGAACACATTAATAAAGAAATAGAAAATGATACCAACCCCGATGGATTCGATGACAAGATCTGTTCTATGCGGTGCCATTGCAGGAGGCTGCGTATAAACCTCCGGAATAACTAAGTGTTCTGGTTTCAAGTCTCGTATAAGTTTGTTAGCTTGAGTAAAATTTAGAGATGTATCAATGGGACAGTGTACTGCTTTCATGGTTAATGGTTGAAATGGAGCTAGGGCGTCTAAATATGGAAAATCAGGTTCTGCAAAATCAAATATAATGAAATGAATATAATGAATATAATAAATATAATGAAATATAATGAAAGATAAAGATATAATATAAAGAATATATCAATAGTATGGAAAAAATTTGTGCAATTTATTTGTCATACTTGATATATGAATAAACAGAAGCATTTAGAAAATAATACATTTGGTACAATTTGTATCAAATGTTGAATTGGTATTAAAATAAAGTTCAACCATGTATATTTTATGTTTTACATACTTTACGAGTATTTAATTAATATTATCTTTTTGAGATCCAATGCAGAAGTATGAATAAGTTATTGCATTATTCTTTGAATTATGTATACCCATTAAAGTACTATTATGTATACCCATTAAACTATATTATTATATATACACCTGTAAAAATGACTGTGTGCAGAGGATTGTTGCCCCATAATTGTATGAAATGCACGGCATCGCCAAATCGGAGACTGGGATGACCGCAGAAAATTACGCAGGGTTGCCGATAGTCATTGCTGAATCCTTCAGCGTACGTAGACGTATAATGTTTCAATCGAGCATTTTTCACGAGGAAAGCGTGTGGGAACGGTTCCTCTGGAAGATAAACTTTGTTTTGCTTATTTGTTGATAGCCTAAAAGTAAAGGATGACAGTAAACGAAAGAAAAAAAATAATAAAATATAGTATATCAAAAATGTCTCAGAATTTTCATTAGTCATACCATTCGGCAAGAATATTCGAATAAGCTAAAGATGTTTCTGCTACTGGTGAAATAAAGAATAGAGGAACCTGCGTGAAGCCCGACTTGTCCAGATGAGTACTTAAACACTCGAATAAATCATATACGACGCCAGAGGGGTAGCAAGGAATCAAAACACATCCACCTGCTCTGAGGGTTACAGCTGCAAGATTTTTATATGATAAAACATGTCGCATCTGAAAAGTTACTTTCTTGTCAGAAAAAAGCTGATAAGAGAAAATTCTATTTTTATTGATTGTGTAATTCTTTTAAAAAATGATTTTGAATATTATAATATCATCCTTTTGTACCGATTTACTGAAAAAATAATATTTACCAACAGTCATGCATAATTCCCCAAGCATCGTGTCTGGATTAGCGGTTGGTGTCTGGGTCAAGCCTGTGAGAATTAACAGGTTTGCATGCTTCAGTGTGACTTGATCCATGGGTTTTGGATGAGTAGTCAATGTAGATGAACCGCTGACAAAAGCAACCTTCTCATGATCACTAGATATTAACCAATTGCTACTACCTAAACAGAAGCCTGAACTGATTGGCGTGACTGTTAAAGCGCCATATATGTCCTGCAAATAGTTTGAATATGATAATTTGATTATTATCTATATGAAATAGTTGATTCCGAAAATATGTCGAGTTTATGGAAAATAATTTTTCTAAATATAAATATTGTATGCACTTGTTTGCTAAGCATATAATACAAATTCAACATTATAGAGAACAATTGTTAATTGATCTTTTGTAACATACCAATTTTTGATCGTATCCAACCATCTGGATGTTTGATAGCGCCGAATTAACGGCTGACATGGAGTAAATGTGCTTCCAAGATTTTGGTTTAATGATCTCCGCTAACGGAGATGGCAACATATGCAACATATCTTTCCAATGTTTAGCCATTGTGGCCTTCGGAGTCCGTTCGATGAATTCCACTAGTTCCTCCATGAAAAACCGTCCAATTTGCAACGTTGGTTCAGTGGCATATATTATACCTTTAAATTATTGTATTTTTTAAATAATTATTTATGTTTTTTTTTACATAGCTATACCTTTAAATCCCGTGCCTTCTGTTATGAACGGCAATGCAAGCATACATGTATAGTTGGATATTAAAATGGCATCAATCTCCGAGAAGTCAATTATTTTTTCTAAAGGAGGAGAAAACTCTGGAGCCGAATCCACAAACACTCTACCACAACACTCTTTCAGTTCCTTAAAATAAAAACAATATGTTTGCAATTATTGTTGAAAATAATTTAAAAATAAAAAAATACAATATTTAAGATATCTTTCACTAACTCCCTCGAGTTGCCAATCTTGCTGATTGTCATTGCGCGGCAACCATGTTGGTAAGGAATTAAATTTGCTGCTTGGAACCATAGGAAGCGGCATAAAGTGCAAAATGGATTGCATATTCAAGCCGCAATCCAACATCAATGTAGTTCCTTTGAAAGTCAAAATCAAGCATGGCTTTGTTGATTCACTGGACAAGCAGTACTAAAAATAAAAATATAAAATTAATTTTATAATATATTTATTTGGAGCTTTAGCAGAAAATGATTTATAATTTCAAGATTTTACATAATTAACGTTATTATGAGTTAAGGTTGTTAAAATACTTTTACTATTATAGGATGGTTTGTCAATCATAAACAAAACAACTCTTTTAATTCAAGACTTAGAATTTATGAAAGACTTAAATCCTCATCTGATAATCTTGAAATTCTACATTTGATATTGTATTTTTTATAACTATTTATTATATTATATTAATTATATTATTATATTAATTTACAAATTTATAAATATAAACATTTTTAGACACTGAATATTAAGCCAATATCACTATTTATCTAAAAATCATATATCTTCTTTCTTTAACGAATAATATCTCCAATTTTGTCCATTGCAAAGATTTTTAGGTTATATTTACATACTTCTTGGCTACAATTAAAATTACCAAATTGCAAACTATTACAACATTAATTAGAACAATTATAATCACCAATTTCATCCTGGATCTTATTCACAAGTTCCACATGAGAGTATTCGTCACGACTGACTTTTTGTGATAAGAACCAAATTTTAGGTCTCGAAAAATTTTTAATTGTTTCTCAAATTTTATCAAGTTTCTAGTAAATTTCTCTTTTTTCCTTTTTCTTGATTTCTAATTCAATTCTGATTTATCTTCCGAGAAGATCAATGCAAAACCACGTGTACCACACTCTCACTTTTCTGCAGACTGTCAACAATACGTTTTTCTCATCATAGTTTATACAAAATATTATCTATATATTATCTATATATATTATCTATATATTATCTATATATGCACGTGTCTCGGTGCATGAAACCAAAATGATAAAAATTCTCATCAGCAAAAGAAGTAACGAGACGAGGATAGGAGGTTTCTTTGAAATTCTTGCCGGGTGAAAGAGGTTAGATGTCTTGAATCTTGTTGAAACTAGGTTAGCTTCGTTGAGCGATTCTTCCTCATTTAATTTGCAGGTGTCCGTCCGCGACTAATGAGACGGAGTGTCATCTTTTCTCCTTTCATTTCTTCCTCTGTGACGAGTGATTATCGAAAATGTGTGAAGTCGTCGTCTTGTTCGACGGTTACTCCAAAAACTTGGATGATGGTAGGATGGATGCGAACTGTACCTGCACTCTGATAAAGGGCACCAAATTAATTATCGTCGATACCATGACTGCTTGGGATCGCGAAAAGCTGGTTGAAGGTGCAAAAGTAGAATGCACTAAAATTTTATTTTTGTATTAATGTAATACAAAATATTTCTTAAGTACATCTTGTATTTTAATATTTTAAATAATTTTTGAGATTATTTTATGAAAAGAAATTTATATAAACATATATACAATCTTATATTATTTTATTTAAAAACAAAGATGTTGAAAATTCTATAAAATTATTTTTCTAATAGCTTTTAATTAATAGCTTTATCTTTAAAGCATACCAAGAATACTTTTTTGAATTAATGAAATAATAAAAAAGTGTAAAAAAGTTTTATTCCGTCCATGGCTTATAAATTTGGGACAGTAATGTACATCCTAAATTGTTCTACGCCATGAACTTTTTATAAAATAGCAATTATAAATAAAAGGGCTAAATATTAGAACTAAAGAACTAAAATAAATGATAATCTTGTGCTTATTTACTGGTCCAAGTTAGAAAAAAAAATCTTCTTTTATTTAAGAGCTATTAAAACGAAAAGAAATGAAATTTATAGAATTTTGAAGCTTTTGAGATTATTTGAATTTTTCTTCATAAGATAACTTCAAAAATCATTAAATTATTGTAATATTTAAGAAACATCTTATATACATGACAAATAGTTTTAGTTTATATCGATAAATATTTAAACGTTCGTAGAATAATCTATATGTAAATAATTATTGTACAAATAATTATTTAATTATTAACACGTTATTTTTTTCTAGAAAAATATAAATAAATCTAAATAATTAACATGAAAATCGAAATAAATGAAATTTTTGATTCTACACACAATTAATGCTGAAAAATGCGAAAAAATATTGGAGCAAATACCTATATACGAATAATTTTTTCATCTCCTGTTTTTCATATCTAAACTGAGATAATATCATTAAGACCACAATTAATTAAGCACAAAATTTTTTTTTCAGCGCTTGCACAGCACAATATTCAGCCAAATGACATCGATTATGTTGTTTGCACTCATAGCCATTCCGACCACATTGGGAACAATAATCTGTTTACAAATGCAGAACATATTGTAGGCTTGACTGTTCAGCGCGGTACTATATTCCATGAAAACCCACAGATCTCGAGCGGTATATTTATTGTAAAATAATAAAAATCTTAAAGATATAATTGAAAAAATTTTATTTCTTCAATTTTATTTCTTCAGACGGCTACGAGCTCTGTCCGGGTGTTAAAGTTATAGCCACGCCAGGACACACAAAAGAGGACGTCACTGTCTTGGTAGAGATGATAAAGGATGGAGAAATAAAACTTCTCGCTGTTACAGGTATCTAAAAAAATATTTCTTAGTTTACAATTATGCATCTATATACAGTATGATGTATAAAATGTATATTTTTTTCGATTTACAATTATGCATTATAATATTATAATATTAATGATTATTACAGTAATCTCTAAAAATATATTTTTCTCCTCGATTTACGTACTTATATTATTATATTTGTCATTTTAATTTCACGTTTGTATAGGAGATTTGTTCGAAAAAAAGGAAGATATTTCAAATCCATCCATCTGGAAATTATTAGGTACACCAGAGTTATCGCAAATTCAATCTGTCACGCGTTCTCGTATAATAAATCTCGCAGATTTTATAATACCTGGACATGGACCAATATTCCATGTTACGAACACTATGAGAGAAATCGTGAAGAGTCAAGTGATATAAGATAAGTAATATAAAAAGAAAAGAAAAAGAGAAATTCTGTATTGTTAAAAAACATTTTTATTTTGTGAATAAAAATGTAAAACAGAATTTTATATAAAATACGTTAATAAAAAATTTCTACAAATAATTATACAACATTAAAAATTATTATGAGCTTGTAAAATATTATTGTAAAAAATTGTTATACTTTCTTTTTCTTTTTATTTTTATCTCCACGCCTATTGATTTTAACAAACAATTTTCATCACAAACAATTGTCACTCATTAACTCGAAATTTGAACTGTTAAAATCCTTGTGCTCATCGTAACATGAAATACTGTGAATTCATATACTTAAGTTTAAATTTAAGTAATGATATATTCGTCTTCGTATATATTTTTCTAAAGATTAATTAACGATAAGCGCCTTCTCATATTTATACAATTATTTAATATCTGAATGAAAATATATCTTCTTTATTTTAATATATATTTTATTTTATTTTAATTTCATACTTGATAATAGTATACTTGTATACAAGTAGAGTAAGTCAAACTGAATAGAAAAATTCAATATATCAGATTTTGCAATTTTTTTCATAATTAATGAAAATAATAATGAACTATTAATTAATGAAAATCGCCGAATAAGCGCATACTTGCCCGGTTCATTAGCAAATACAAACACATAACGAGATGCGACTATCTAGCATTACATACGTTCGCAGTTGCTAGAACGCGACAAGATGTTTGACCGTAAGCTGCAAATGATAAAGCTTTGCTTATAACGTATACTTCTGAACATTTCATCGTGTTTCTAGCAACCGTGAATGTTCGTGACGTTGAATAATCGTATCTCGCAATGCGCTTGTATTCTCCGATGGACGAATACGCGCTCATCCAGCGATTTTTATTAATTAATAATTTATTACTAATTGCGAAGATCGCAAAATAACTTTTCTGCTCAGTTTAATCCACTCTGAGAAAGCTCCTGCTGAGAAAGAAACCTGCATTATATTATTAATTATCAAATACCTTATAATTTTTAGATTAGTATAAAATCAAATGTTTGTACGTAGTAAACTTCAAATACTACTATAACTTCATCTATATGGGGTTGTATTCGGAATCCCACTCGAATGCTTTCATTTTATCTTTATTGTTCACAGAATGTTAAAGGGAAAATGACATATGGAAGTATTCGGGTGGGGAATTCGAACGTACTCTTATAAAGTGGAAAATATGTTTGCAAAATAGAATATAAATTTTCTGTTCTGTTTTTCCTTTCGTCAGCATTTTTTTTTTTTCGTTTTTCCTCTTTTCAATGTTTCGTATTCTATGTCCATCTCGTTTACAAAAAGTGCATTATGATAATATAAGTTAAGATCCACTGCAATTGAAAATACTGTAAGATTAAAGTTATTTTATGCTGGTGCTCAATGATCGACGACTTCCATGCGATGATGAGAGTCGTAGAACAAATTTGTCATAAATGTTCCTTAAAGTATTCAAATGATATTCCTTTAAACATGTAAATCCCCTCAACGAACGAGATCGCTTAAGCGCACATTTTATGCAGTACACTTCATGTGGTTTGTTTTTTTTTAATTTGGAAATGAATAATACATTGAACACCTCGACCTACAAAAAATAAAATATGCTTTTAATATAGAATAACTTAAATACAAATTATGTAATATAATGTATTTTGTGTAAATAGTTATATAGTAAACTATAATAATTTATACAGAGATTATATTAATTTTTGTTAAAAGCAAAATACGCACATAACAATTTTGACAATAAGGCGTATGATCGTCTTTACGGCGGCCGTGATAGATTATTTCCACATTCTTCCTCTTCACAAACTTTAATATCAAGTAACTCTGCTTCATCGTTAGCGATAGGCAATTTTTTATTAGAATGGACAATTGCACATTTGTCACATTAGCATCGCACGCTAGGTTCCACGAGAGATGCACAATCGGTACGATTGATTTAAACCGTTGCAATTTATTCCATTCGTAACGTTCGATCGCCATATAATATTGCGAGACGGTGAATGGGCCAACGTTCCACGCGACATTGTTGCACGAACCAATTGACTGTACCCAGTGCACGCAGCCGACATTTATCCATACGATATCGCCTAATTTCTGAATGAATCTGTATACCGGAATGTTGTTCTCGTGCAGAACGTTCAAATTCGGCGGCCACCAACTGTCTTTCAAATAATTGACATTATTTTGTTCACAGAGCGTATGCATTGCACCCCAGTATTCCTGCGGTACTGCGAACCATTCGCAATCACCCGGTCCAATATTAAGGTTGACAGAACAGAAATTGTTATTCTCCTGATGACCGGGGGTCCTGCATCCGGGTACCTAAACAATTGTTATGAATTAAATTGCAATCATAGAGCATTCTTTAAATAATAATAGATACATCTCTATTCTGACTCACTTAAAATCATATTTCAAATTTCAAATTATACCTTCATGTATAATTGCAAGGTATTCATCCCTAAGATTTCGCCCACATAGCTGAGCATATTGCTGTTATCTTCTACTCTGAGGAATGGTGGTAACTTCATCAATTCGTCAAATTGATCTTTCCACTTTTTCTTGTTCGACAGATCTATATTGGTAGCGAATTTCAATTTTTTGTTTTCTTCATCCATGTTCATTTGATCGGAATTGTTCTGCCTTTGAATTCGTCGTTGATATCTCGTGTATTCCAACATTGTCATGCGACTTAAGGAACTGAAGCAGTCCCAGACCTTTTTCTTGCGTCCCTTGTCCCAATTCTCATCAGGAGAACATTTATTTTGTTCACGTATTTCGATATTTAAATGTGGATCTATTTGAGCTAAAGTTTTAGACGAAAAAAGGTCTAGATCAATATTGACCGATGCATCGAGATGGCGTAATATCGCAATGGGATTTTTCAAACAAAATTTCTTCAGCTCCAGACTGAATGCCTCTTCACTGTTTTTTACGTAATAAATCGATATTTCCGGCGATAGTTGTTCAGTTGTTAATACTCGCTGGGGTGGATTTGGCGCCGAACAATCAGCAAGAAATGAACATTGTAGTATTTCTTGTAATCCTTGCTCCTTACATGCCTTTAAAATCATTTTGGCATTCTGCTCGATGTTCATTTTCAGTTTTCTTCTTAATGAATAAATAAAAAAATTATAATAAAAAGCAGAAATAAATTCTTTGTCACGAAATATGAATTTAGAGCACTAAATTAATCTTCTTTACTTTGTTACACCGCACGAATAAACTGTGACTGTTTCGCTTATCGAATATATTTGAAGATAAAATTGAATAACACAAGTCATATGAGTCTAGAGGACATAGAAAAAATGTTTTCCCTCAGAGATTTAGTTTACACATTTTGAATATCATAGACAAACAATGATCGGACATGATATCATGATATACCTTATACATAGATCATTTCTCGAAACGAAATAATCACATTATTTGCACAGCGATATTTTTATATTGTTGTTGTTGTTTTATATTGTTGTGTAAAGCAAGTTTGAAACAACTTTCTCTCAGATATACAAATATACAAAAATATAAAATAGATTCTTCAGTGAAAATTACTTTTTTTATAAAAAATTGCAAACACAAGCAAAGAAAATGATATTAATTTTTCTCATGCATACTTCTTAAGCCTACATATTTCTCAAGAAATAATAAAAATAATTTTGATCATAAAAATGATGAAAAAATGATTTTTGATATGAAAATATCAAAACAAATCCTCCTTAAATGTGCCATATTATTGAATTAAACTTATCGACATCGTGTATATTTCCTGCATCGTTTCTGAATTAGCAATTGATATTTGTTTTAAACTCATAATATCAATATATGATTTGCTTCACGAATTTCGAATGAATCGGATAAGTCATCGGCAAAAGCAGTCTTCCTATGATCAGTTAATATTATTTAAACAATAATCCAAAGGTATAACTGGTATAACTTTTCTCATTAGTATATCCTGCAAATAGTTTAAATATAATTATTAAATTCTTATCCATGAAACAGCTGAAATAAAAAAGCTCGTTAGATTAAAATAATAATCGCATTCATTGTGAATTATTTTGTAAATATCATATTATTCGCATTACATTATATGTAATTTACCTAAATACATTAATAAATTGAAGCACCTTTGGCTTGGCTAAACTTCTACGCAGAATGAGCAAAATAACTTCAAATCGAATGAGACTTTATATGCTGCGCAGTATGAAAGGGGATTTTTTATTTAAGGAACTCGAATTTGAAAATTTTCCTGGGTGAAATCCTGGAATAAATCTTTACTTTTATAAATAAGTGCTAAGACCTCTCTTGTGTTAACATTAGAAGAAATAGACGATGCGTATATTTTTACAAATACTTTATTAAACATTGCAAAGTGTGGTACATGGTATCACAATGTTGTTATACTCAATGCATGTATACATTACGATTATTACACATTATACACCGGATTCACGAACACGAATATCTATACGGAGGAGCACAATACGTTCACCCTTATCTTTCGATTTCGCTCGCTGTAACGATACGTGGATCGTTACGACTTGCTTTAGAGCAGGTTTCTTCGCGATACACACTATTTCGAAGAAGTAACTCGCAAATCGGTATATACACATACGGTATATACGGTACATACGGTATATACACATTTTGATAAATACAACGCTTTTTTAAATATCCTCCTGTCTTAAGAATTCACTCTCCTAATATCTACATTCTATATCGTCCATAAACAGTTTTATTAAATCTTCACAGCCAACGACTAAATTAAAAGTCCTCTCCGCATTCTCATTTAAGAATTATACTTTATAAGTAGTGATATAAACCTTTTTTATAGTGAAAGAGGAGCATAGATCTAACTTTATCGGAGAACTCGAGTAACAATACTAGGAAGTCGACAAAATCCTTTCCCCGAAAGTAAAAATTAAAAATTGAAAAATCTTCTTAAACTTGTCTTATACATTGTCGCGTTGTAATTTTACGTGTGTAAGAATGATTGAGGCTCCCGGTCATTTTTCGCTGCTGCTCTATTAAAAAAAAAATCACTTATGCACACATACACACATATTACGTATACAATGTATCATTTTTATATATTATAATTATAATGAAAAATTATGGAAATTATTGAGAGAAAGCGCAAAATTTTACAGACTTTTCGCTTTTTACGAGACAATTTGACGATTGCAGCGACAGAACAGAAGCCCCAAAGTATTACAACGGTTGTACGGTAAGACGGAGCGCCCTGCACTCTATGTAAGTAGTAGCTTAATACTTTTGTACATAACGGCAAAATCAATTCGCCGACTGCTGTAAATCTATAAATTAAGTAGTTCCACGAGAATAATCCGATTACATCACCGAACAGATATTTATCTGTCGTCAAATTAATGCGGAATACCTTCGAATACAATCAATTCGCATAACCTGACGTAGTCAACCTAATCTGTTCCAGATACCAAGGCAATATTACGATTCTCATCGCGTATCTCTGACTACTTCTAAATTAATTTTCAGCTTCATCGTTACATGTATTCAGACGCATGTCGATTAAATACAGATCGATTCTTGCACTATATCATTAGCCTTTTACAATTATTAATTACATTAATTAATTTTCATATTTCGTAGCTGCTATACGTACAGAATAAGTCGCGTTATCTATTACAATATCTCCACTTTAAATTTCTAGCGAATTGACAATGGTTTAATGATAAAAAGAAAAGCACTGTACGTATTAATGTTAAAATATATAGAAAAAAATAAAGGCACGTTCTTTCTTACAAAAATTAACAAATAAATAATGCATTCTCTTTTATCATTAAGCCAATTCCAATATCAGAGATTCCTCAAAAAAGTCTCGAATAATTATGTAATTTATTATTTATATATAATAATAATCATCATCATATAATAAGATATTAACTTGCAATGGATCACGCGACTTACTCAATACACAACATGACTTTCATTACATTGAAAATATTATAATTAAAGCTCGTGAAGAAGTAATCAACACCATGGCGTGACTGTCCTCAAAATTAATCTACTTAAAAATGTAGCAAAATCAATGACACATATATACTGGAAATTTCCTAAAATATCTTTTGCTTTTCCCGTGTCGTTCTATTAGAAATTGCGCAGGAAGCACGACCGGTTGTTCAAAAGTCTTACAATTCCGTGTATGATTCTAATAATGCTCTTTACAGTTTCGTTTATTCCGAGCTTCTTTCGACGGGCGTTAGTTACAATCGCTTGGAAAGACTTGTCTGAAAATCGGCAGCGTGTCTCGGCAATGAAAATATCCGTTTTCCTTATCTTCACCGATTTACGAACACTTTGTGCCTTCAATCCTGTTTCAAAATTATGTAGCATAATATTAAAATATTAACTGATCCTAATCCTCATAATTAATATGGCCTTTTGTTTTGGCGAGATAAAGATCTTCTGAAACAATTAGGATTTTGATAATGAAATACGCATTCCGAAATCACATGCGGCCGATCTTGAGATGATCACCGGACAGGAATCGTATGAGAGTGAGCGAGTCGAAACGAAACGGTCTATCGACAGAGTTATAAGGAAAAATTTTATAAGTGTCTGCCGACCAGACCTGGTAGGGCGACTCGTGTGTGCAGCGGTAGTGGTCCCGGACTAACTTCTCCCATCATCATCACGGTCCCTAGCTGTCCCACAAAGTATTAAACAAACATCAAGAATCATCTTCAAAATCATATCTCCTCTCGCATACATGCCACTTGACATTATTATCAATTACATTCGACTGGCGCACCGAACAAGTTTTGCGTATCGTAAACAAGCTGAGAAAATATATTCACAGAGCGATCCGGCTGTCGAGATACGTAGGCCTGGGATCTACTTCTAATCGAGACTTCAAAGTGAATCTAATTCACAAGACCAGAAAATAAAAACTCCTCTAAGTTTAACACTATTTACAAAAAAATCTGCGAGGTACACGCTAATTTCCCAGCAGAGAGAATATTACAGTTCAATTTTGTCAATTTTCTACTTTGTATATAAGTATATGATTTATCTGTTTTAAATATTCTAATATATATAACTGTATGTTTT